TAAATAAATAAATAAATAAATAAATAAATAAATAAATAAAATTAAATAAACTAAAAAATAAATAAATAGAAAAAACTATTAGCCTGCTGAGTTGGAATATTTCCCCACTTCCCACAGGTTGGAAGGGAGATGTGAAACTGATCCAGCTTTGACCATGTAGATGGAGGCCAATATTCTATCAGACTGTCAAAACAAGATCATGAATGATCTCATAAGACAGAATTAAGATACAACCTTGGAACACTAACTTCTAAACTATTTGGAAAAATAAACTTGTATAAGTAGAGTATTACCATAGTCTTCATGATTCTTTTTTTGTGTCTTTGGGCATGTGTATGTGGAGGCCAGAAGTCAATGTCTGGTTTTATTCCTCCAAACCTGCCCATTTTGTTTGTTCAGAGAGGATCTCTCACCGGGACCTAGGGCTTGCTGATTAGGCTAGGCAGGTTAGCCAGTGATCCCCTGGGAACTCTGCCTGTCTCTGTCTCTGCCTCCCGAGGGCGGGTATTATACCACTCTTGGCTTTTATGTGGATGCTAGAGATCAACCTCAGGTCCTTATGCATGTACAGCAAGCACTTTACCTACTAAGCTATCTCTTCAGCCCCAAGACTTTAAAAGAAGACAAAGTACATCATTTTAAAATAATTTTCTACCTTTGAGAATCCCTAAATCACTCTAAAAAAGAAAGGATAGTTGAGAACAGGGATGGAGACTTAGCAAAACCATATAAAAATATTATAAGGAAAATTAAAAGTGTTATCAGTGCTAAATGATTGGGTAAGCTAAGAGTCCTTACCTCTCTGACCAGTATCTATCACACCATGTTTTTTATTCCAATATACAGCCCCAGGACAAAAGAATAGACTGTAGAGAAATTACTCAACAAATAGTAATTGAAACGCTAACAGAAATACTTAGCTAATAAAAGAGTACTAAATTAGTTTTGTTTTTGTTTTGAGACAGTGTCTTCTTGTAGCCCCTGTGGGTCTGGAACTTGCTATATAGACCAGACTGGCTGAGTGTTGGGATTAATAGGGTGTGCCACGATGCCAGGCTAATTTAGACTTTTTTTTTTTAAGGCCCTCTTTGCCCAGGCTTTTTGGTATTACTTGTTAACCAAACAAACTTCCCTAAAGTTAAAATGTGATCAGACCAACCCAGCCAAATTGAGAAAAATAAAACATTGCACTGGATAAACCTCACACACAGCACAATGACACAGAGAATGAGTTATGTGTATGAGAGATGCCTGAAATTCCATGACTCAATGCCTGGGATCCTATGAATGAATTTTATGACTCACATGAATGTAATTTTCCTCTATGCAAATCTAACGAAAAGGGGGAACTGGTTAATTATGAAAGAAAAAATATAGACCTATTTTACTTTACTACAATTCCAACACTGAAAATTAGGCAATAAAATATCTAAGATTCCCATTATCAAAATGTACTAAAATATGGCAAAAAATAGAAGAATTTACTTTTTTCAAGATGAAGAGACTCCAGCCTGTGTTTAGAATAAACCATCAAATACATTTATTGAATCATTGTAGAAAGTAAAATGTTGGAAACAATTTAGATGTCCACTAAATGGCTACTCAAATAATGAAACAGAAGAAGCTCTTAATCAACCCTTTATTTAACTGACTCACATGATTAACCAATATTCTCGGCTTCCTGAATAAAATGAATAATGATTTTTGCACACGAAGTACTTTGACTAGTAGTCCTCTACTAACAAACCCAAATATTCTTGTTCACGCAGTAGGGTGTATGTTTGCCAAAGGAAAAGATGTATTTGTGATATATACACATATATGCACATGTGATTTATTTAAATAGCACTTAAACTGATAAATTAGGAATGGAGAACCAAACTGCTTTCATGATCAATAGGCTAATCACTATAAAAAATTTAATAAAGTCAAGTTATAAAAAAATATTAAAAGTGCTACTGAACTAGATGAAGGCAAGACAAATGAAATAGTAAGGCTGTTTGCCTTAGTAAAGAGAAAAGCCTTGGGAATCTTACCCTAACATTACTTTTACTCCAGAAAGAATCCCTATGTCCTGCAGGCTGGTCTGGAAGCTGTTATGTGGGCCACACAGGCCTCAAATCTCAAGATAGTTCTGCCTATGCTTTGTTTTTGCTTGGATTACGGCATGTGCCACTTGGCTTAGCCTAAGATGGTCAGTTAAGGGCCTAATTTTTCATATCACTTAAAGGAACTCAAAATGAAAGGTACAGATACTACATTGTAGGTATAGTCTTAGAAAGCAACCCTATTAATGAGTTATACAGTATTAATGAAAAAACTTGGGCTCAATTAAAAAAAAATCCCTGGTGAATACACCTTGTTACACTGAAATGAGTAAAGATCATTCTTTATGATTCCAACAGAACATCAAAAAGATTATACATTATGATCCAGTGGGATCTATTCCAGGGGGACAAAGATGATTTAACATGCACTAGTAACAATAAGCAGTAAATATTACAAACATATAAACAAAAAGAAAAAAAATGTATCAAGAGGCACAAAAATAGTTTCATACAATTCAGCACAAAGAAATCCTCAAAAACAACATATAGACTATACCTTAAAATAATTAAGGCTATATTCAACAGAAGTGGAACAAGACAAGAATGTCCATTTTTACTACTCTCATTCAACACAATAGGGAAAGTCTTGGCCAGGGCAATGAGGTAAGAGAAAGAATGGTAATCAAAATTAGAAAAAAGAAAGTCAAACTACTCTTACTTATAGAAGCGTAATTCTCTTTATATAAAACCCTAAACATTTTATCACTAACTTTTTTTTTCATGTGTATGACTGTATTGCCTGCATGTGTGTAAGTGCACATGTGTTGTACAATGCCTGAGGAGGTCAGAAGGTGGTGTTGGATTCCTCTGGAACCGGAGTTACAGATGGCTGTTAGCCACCACGTGAGTGCTGGGAATCAAGCCTGAGCCCTCTGGGAAAGCAGTCAGTGCTCTTATCCCTGAGCCATCTCTCCAGTTCCTCTACCACTAACTTTTAAGAAAAGATAATAAATTCCTTAAAATTGAAGGATATAAGATAAAAAGCGTTCATAGAAGAAAATAGTAGCTGCAGAGGCTCCAAGGAGGGTTGCATACATGGTGGTGCCTGGTTTTATTTTTGTTGCTGTGATAAAATAACTAGACAAAAAGCAACTTAAGGGAAAGGGTTTATTTTGGTTTATAATGCCAGGGTATAGTTCATCAATATAGGGGAGTCAAAACAGGAACAACATGAAGTCCCCAGTCACATCAGTCAAGAGCTGAGAAATGATGCTTGCATACTTAGGTACTGAGCTAGTTTGCTGTACTCTCAATACAGTTCAGGGACCAATACACGAAAGCTAGGTCTTCCTATATCAATTATGGCAACTGAAAAAATACTCTACAGACACACTCACAGGCCAACCTGATCTAGACAATCCTTCACTGAGACTCTCTTCC